GTCTAATGCACAATTATTACATTATTTAGCAGGATGCTTGGGTCATTGTTCACTGCGAAGGCAGTAATTTCGTCATTCTTTTTATAATCTTCTGACATGTTGACTTGTCCTCGATTCCCACGATGTTTCTTTTCACTGAAAGAACTATATGGCGCTTTGGCTCATTGTCTGAGTTGTTGTTTTTCCCTTTCTTCAATTTGGTAGGCATGTCCTTCGCATAGAACACCTGAGTTACATCCTTGGACGAAAGGTTTGTCTCCGTACCCAAAATTGTTGAGGTTCGCTATTGTCATTCTGTACTGATAGTCCACTGTTACCCCACCTCTGGGCACCTTCACCCATTGGCACTAAAACAAAGAGACCTTAAAAGAAGGTCCATATTCAAGTTCCCATATCTTCTCTCTGTGGCCATAATATGTTTCCTTATTCCCATTCAGGTCTGTGGCATCTATATGCGGACACCACTATTTTGGTTGGTGCTCCTTTTATCTTGGGCTATCGTGTAAAATGTATTCTCATTTATCTCATACCCTTTGAATGTCAAGATATGCCAAGACGGTTCCCTAGACAATAAGTACAATTGCTCATCAAGTCTCTCATCATCCATGAGATGTTTCCATAGCGACCATAGAAAGTTTCCATGTGCCGACGCATAATCTAGGCCTTAAGCTTCCCCAAAAAGTCAGATCATACAATGTCCTTGTGTACCTTGATATACAGATCCACCATGGAGGAGTTTTGTAGAACCATATAGAGTTCTTTACGGAAATAATCATTATCCCTACCAATATATGCTTTCTTCCCTAGTGTTTCCTTTCCACTTAGTCTCTCCTCATGCCATGATTCAGGAACGCCAATTGGGTTAATGTTAGGAATAAAGTCAACACAAAACTCAATGACCTCCTCTATTCCATAGCCCTTGGAGATGCTTCCTTCTGGCCGAGCACGGTTATGAACATATTTCTTCAGGACTCCCATGAACCTCTCAAAGGGGAACATGTTGTGTAGGGATACAGGACCGAGAATACTAATCTCTTTGACTAGATGAACTAGGAGATACGTCATAATACTAAATAAGGATGGCGGGAACACCAACTCAAAGTTGACAAGACATTGGACCACATCATTCTGTAGCTTTGCTAGATCCACTAGATTGATTGCCTTCTCTGAAATTGCATTGAGGAATCCACATAGATCCATGGTGGCTAATCGTACATTTTTAGGTAGAATCCCTCTCAATACAATTGGAAGCAATTACGTCATAAGCACGTGGCAGTCATGAAACTTTAGGTTTAAGAATTTCTTCTCTACCACATTTATTATCCTCTTTACATTCAAGGAGAAGCTAGATGGGACCTTGATACTACTTAGGCATTCAAACATGCTTTCCTTCTCTTCTTTGCTAAGATGTAGCTAGCAGGACTTAACTAATAGCATCCATTATTTGCCTTCTCTGGATGTAGGTTGTCTAATTCTTTCAAACACTGCAGGTCCTGTCGTGCTTCCAATGTATCTTTATGCTTCCCATACACACCCATGAAGCCTAGCAGGTTCACACAAAGATTCTTCGTCAAGTGCATCACATTGATAGGACTTATCAATAGGGTAGCTTCCAAAATATAGACTTCTTATTCCACATGGGTGCATATCCGTTAGTGTCATTCAGAACAGGTTGGCTGCCAGGTCCCTTCCCAAAGACTACTTGTACATCCTTGACCATATTGAATACATCCTCACCACTACGGTTGTCAGGCTTTGTCCAGTGATCTGCCTTACCTTTAAAATGCTTGCCTTTCCTTCTTAGGGGGTGATTCAAAGGAAGAAATCGATGAACTTCTGACATTTTTTCAACTATATACTTTCAGTGTCATCAAAACAGTGCGTGCAAGCATTATATCCCTTGTTTGTCTGTCCTAAAAGATTACTAAGAGTAGGCTAATCATTGATTGTTATGAACAATAATGCTCATAGCTCAAAGTGTTCCTATTTGTGCTCATCCACACACGTACGCCTATTCTGTTCCACAAAAGTAGAAGTTTCTCAATTAATGGCTTTAGGTACACATCAATGTCGTTGCTAGGTTGCTTCAGGCCTTGGATGAGCACTGGCATCATAATGAACTTCCGCTTCATGCACAACCAAGGAGGAAGGTTGTAGATACATAGAGTCACAAGCCAAGTACTATGACTACTGCTCTGCTCCCCAAAAGGATTAATGACATCTATACTTAAAGCAAACCTTAAGTTTCTTGTGTCTTTTGCAAACTCTGGGAATTCTTTGTCGATTGCTCTCCACTGGGACCCAACAGTGGGGTGTCTCAACATATCATCTACCTTACAATCTTCTTTGTGCCATCGTAGCAACTTTGCATGTTCTTTGTTTCTAAACAAACATTTCAAGCGTGGAATTATAGGAGCATACCACATCACCTTGATAGAGATTCTCTTCCTGGGGCATTGTTCGTTCCCCTCAACATCACCAGGGTCATCTCGCCTAATCTTATACCGTTATACATGACATATTAGGCATGCATCCAAATTCTCGTACTCCTTGCCGCGGTAGAGGATGCAATCATTAGGACATGCATGTATCTTCTGAATTTCTAATCCTAGAGGGCAGACAACCTGTTTTGCTTCGTATGTAGTGGTGGGCAATTCGTTATCCTTCGGAAGCATCTTCTTTGTGATTTTTAGTAACTCCCCAAATCTCTTGTCGAATACACCATTCTTTGCCTTCCATTGTAACAATTCTAGTGTGGTACCCAACTTTTTCTGCCCCTCTTCACAATTTGGGTATAGCAATTTCTTGTGATCCTCTAGTATGCACTCAATCTTGATCTTCTCCTTTTTCACGCTCTCTATGCATCACGAATGGCCTGACCAAGATCATTAGGGGGTCATCTTCTACCGCTATCTTCACTTCACCCATTGCAATATCATCAAAGGTACCATATTCAGAACCCATGAATAATGTTGTCATCATGCCCTCTTCTTCATCTTCTTCCATTACAACCCTGCTTTCTCCGTGCTTGGTCCAACAAATATAGTTTAGCATTAAACCCGACCTAAACAGATGTTCATGAAGGGTCCTTGAGGAAGCATAATCATTCACATTCTTACAGAGAACACATAAGCAACACATGAAACCATTTGCACGCCCTCAATGAACTCTTAGGAGCGGCGATCAACGTTGTACATCCATTGCCGGTTCATCTGCATTATATGACCATACCAAAACCTTGAACATAATTAATTAATATCCTATATTACACAGACATGCATGATTAGTTAATTAAAAGATCCAAAATATCCATCACTCACCATGATTAATTAATATCCTATATACCACAGGTGTTTCACTCGAGCATTAATTTATTAGATCCTTGATACAATGTAGACAATCTCAAATAACACTAAATAAAGAACACCTACAATGCACTTCAACAAAATAGGGATTTCGCAACCAATTCCATCTAAAAGAGACAAATTCTTCATCAGTTCTTGATCCATGGGCTTCTTTCTGCTGGTTCGCTGCCTCTTCATGCATAGGTGCACTCTCATCAGTCGCCTCAGCCGCTTGTTACACGTGGTTAACATACTCTTCCTCCCAATACTAGCTTTCACATCTAGTGTCATCCCATGAAATTAAATCAGCAAATCAAGAACTTTAATAAAAATCATCACAGAAAATGGCTACAAACCATAAAAAAATACGGCCAAAAGAAGTCACATCGCAGTTCGGACACATGTAGAAGATGCGGCCGTTGTTGGGACTCTACTTCTTCACTCTATACTCGAGCATAGTCTTCAACTGGCACTTGTTGTACGCAATGAGTGGGAGGTCCGGCCTCAGTCGCTTAGGAACCTGATACGAGGCTGAGGATGCGGAAGCAGTCGCCATCTACTCTCGATATCTCTATACCCATTTTTATCAATTACCATAAATTTCTCTATTTCTAAACCATGAAATGAGCTATATATACTAGAAATGAAAGGAGGATACTAGTTTTGATGAACTACTTCAGCTACATATGCAAACTACCAAGTGAGTTTGAGCTCAAATGGCATACAAATAAAAAAATTCACCATTATTCCTAATATAAAATACCATAAATGTTGCTATTTCTAAACCACGAAATGAGTCATACTAGCAATGAAACAGGAGAGGATGAAGATGCTAACCTTTATAACCCAAGAATGGATGGAGGAATGAAGTCTTCACAAATCCCGCAAGCATGAATTCCTTCCACGAGCAAGAATAGAGAGCATGCAGAGCTCGAAATGGCTTGGACCGGGGGAGGAGGAAGAAGAAAGTATATAGCCCGGGACCTGTAGCCCCGGTTTGTGAGTTCAAACCCGGATTATAGGTCATTTTATAGTCCCAGTTGGAGCCACCAACCTGAATTAAAGGTTTAGTAACAAATAATTAGTAGCTCCAATTAGGACTAGAGGATGACCTTTAGTCCCTGTTGAAGCCACGAACCGGGACTAGGGGTCCCTTCCTGCAAAAGTCTGCGCTAACTTGCGGCGCTAACCATTGGGCATGGTGTTTTAGTCCCGTTTCGTGCATTCAACCGGGACTAATGATCCCTTTAGTCCCAGGCACAAATTTAGCCGAGACTAAAGCCAAAAACTGAAAGTTCCTTCTCTACTAGTGATTATAAAGTTTGACTCTTGACTTACGCGAAATGCCTTATAAACCGGATGTAAGGGAGTACCTAAATTGAACTTGTACAAATAACTATGGATTTCACGTGTCATACAGTGACCATAATCCATGTTTTACTTTTGATCCTGATGCAATGCAAAAGGATCGGGGTGTTATCCCTGGAACTCTAAAAATAAAAGGTTCCTACATTACTTATCTAAGTACCGAAGTATGAAAGGGCAGGCTTCCAGCTATTCAAGTTGCACATGAACTTGGATCCTTTACCTCACTGTCTACACGATAACTCAGGTTTTCAACAGTCTCCTTGAAGGGCTTTAGAGTTTTGGACAAACATGAGGACTAGGATGGAAAACCTCAAGCTGCAAGGATTAAAGTAAGATCGATCCTCTACCAAAGCTAGGGATCAGTGAACAGTGCAGGTCAAAACAATTTTTCGTTTGCACAGGACGTCTAAATCACGCTCAGTCTCACTGCCTCTTTCCACACTGCTGTAGATTCCCCTTTCTGCCCATATATACCCAGCACGGGATGCCCCGACTGATCGGTTTCCCGAGCTGCACACACGCAACTACGCAAGCACGCGCCCTCACTGTTCGCTCGCTCCCCAGTCCCCACCCCCACCCGCCGCTCTCTACAGTGCTGCAGCTGAGGCGGCGCCGCTGCCGAGGCGTCTTTCTCGGATCGTATGTGCCGAGCTCCTCCTGTCTGCCTCTTCCCCTTCTGTTTGGCTTGCACTTGAATAGCTGCCTTCGACTTCGCGCCATGCGCAGCTCTTGCGTTTTTAGCCTTGGGAGTGCAAGAATCGGTGGCTTTCTTGGACATCCTGCGGGCCTTCTTGCGTGGATGCTCTTTTCTTGGCTAGTTGTTTGTTTCTTGCAGTTGCAGAGGAAATTTTCCTGAAATTGTCGCCGCCGTCTTGACGGTTTCTTGGTTGGGAGCAGGGCGGAGGCGTTTTCTTTCCTTCTTGGCCGGCGGCATGGACTGGGCAGCAGCTTCCGGGGCTCCGTCGTGGGGCGCGGCGGCGACGGACCCCGGCCCGACCATGATGTCCTTCGCGGGCCCGTCCTCCTCCACCTCCGCCGCCGCCGACGCCGAGGCGCGGCTCCAGGATTTCGCCGCGGGTCTCGCCCAGAACGCGCGGCCGGCGGGGGCGGCGGGAGCCGGGAGGAGGTCCCGCGCGGCCGGGGGAGGTGCCGGCGCGGAGGCGTGCTCCGTCGACGGCTGCCGCTCTGATCTCAGCCGGTGCCGCGAGTACCACCGGCGGCATAAGGTCTGTGAGGCGCACGCCAAGACGCCGGTGGTGGTCGTCGGCGGCCAGGAGCAGCGCTTCTGCCAGCAATGCAGCCGGTATGGGCTCCGTCTCATCCAATTCTCGCACCAGGCCGTGTACCGATCCTATTATTATTCAGCAATTCTTGTGCTGACGTGGTCATTAGTCAATGATCCTGTTCGTTTCTCTTGTAACGCGTCTTTTTCGGCCTGGTTTTTCAGCTGGAAAAGGGTTTTTCTCTTATGACAAATTAGCCGAAACAGTATTTTAGCTTTTTTTCAGCGAAGCCTTCTGTGGGTATGGTATTGGTCCCCATCTACTTGCTAATTGAGGAATTGAGGGTGGGGGGATTTAGTGCTTACTTTGGGGCAAATTTAGGGGCAAAAACATCAGGTCTAGTTTGTTCCCAACCTGGCAATCTGAACAACGGGGTTGGTAATTTGGTGGCGTTTAGGATCTGATGGCGTGCTGATAATTTAATCTCACTGATGGGATGCGTCACCGATTAAACTAATCGGTTGGTAATTTGGTGTTGTTTAGGGTCTTGTGACCCCATTAATTTAATCCCGTTGGTACTATTTAAAGAAAGTTGGTGGTGTGGACAACTGACTTCCTTGGTAGGGTTTGGTTTTTTCTATGGGATATTCAGCATCCTGCAGAATCTTTCTAATGATTGATGGAGTTTTGAAGTTTCTTCAGCTGCATTCTCAGGCCAAGCTCTTACTGTACTGAGATGCAACTTTCTGCAAACCATTGCTGTTTCCCAGCAACCAAATATGAAACCATTTCGTAAGGTCTAAGCATTTTCATTGCTTATTGTTGCTGATGATGATAAAAAGGAGGCTTCAAACTAGCATATACGTTATTTCATGGGTCATTCCTTTAGGCAAAGCCTATCTGGAATTGAAATGTGGCTGTAGCATTTGGTTTGGTTGATTTAATTTTCCTCCTGTTTTTGAATGTGAATTCTTCTTTTTTCTTTGTTACATACTAGAGGATTGCACAATTAACTGACATGAGTAGCAAACAAAACTTGAACTAAGAATGGGTGTAACTGTGTTTTCTCAGAACATTTGAAGCTTTGTTTCCTTTTCAAGTAGGAATCTTTATATATTAAGAAGGGATATTTTTTCTTAAAATAGTAGACATTAATCCTTTAATGGCACCAGAATTGTCTGTTACTCTGAAAATATCCTTGATAGCATGCACTGGTGATTTTGAACTGGATCTCAAAGTGAACTAGTGAAGTCTCACTAATATTTGCAAGCTGACTTATTGGTGAATAAGTAAAACAATCTATATTATTTGATTTATTCCTTTAATCTTTAAGTTACTCAACAACATGCAATGCTAAGTGCAATCCTGATCCAGAAGAGATCATCCATTTGGATTTTTCAATTCTATAGCTGTGTATTTGATATTTTCTACTGTCTTCCACAATAGAACTATCAATGCCATTAGTCAATGGAATTGAAATATAGGAACTGTAAGTGACAAATCAAAGGGAAAGATGCTGTTTTGCTTAACACCTTAGCAGAAAGTTGGTGTTCCAAAGTCTCATTCAGTTCACATGTTTGATCTACAAATAATCATTATATTATGGATTCTTTTGACCTCACATATGTGAAATATGAGCAGGAGGCATGTACAAATTATTGGAATTGTCTCATGTACCTTATCCATTGAACAAGATCCTAGTAGTAGATCAGTGTGGGAAGTATATTAGAACCATTATCAAGGTTGAGTGAGTATGCCCTTAATGATGACAAAAATGAAACATGTACTGTCTAAATGAAGTTAATGTTTGTTGTGTGATGGGCCTAGATTGGTTGGAGGTGGATTGCGTAGATTGTAGGGAAAGGAGGGAGGAGAGGAGGGATGGAAGGGAGACGGAAGCCCATGGTTGCTTGTACGCCGAGAGTGGCTGGCGGCATAGGGCTAGTGCTTGGGATGGCAGCAGCGTAGGTGGGGGCCGCTGGGGAAGAGGGGGCAGCATAGGGGCTGGAGAGCTGAAAGCTTTGAGAATTGAATCGTCTATTTCTTTTCTTGAATATTACGAGTACATGACCCCTTTATTTAATCTCCTTATGACTTGACCCCTAAGCAATCTAGGGTTAGGGTCCTTATAGATTTGGACTCTACTTTTCCTAAACAAACTCTATTTAAATTGAATTTTTTCTTCTCCTATTTTAATTAGAGTTGGATCCGGACTCCTTTTGGGAGGTAGCCGGCCCCTTAGCAAGGGACATTGTTGTCTTCATGCCCTTGGGACTTTGTAGCTCGATGTCTGCCTTCAGCAATTCCATTAGTCCCGCTGTGTAGATGTTAACTTGCTGGAGCTCGTCAATGGGTCTCACGTGCCACGTGTGAGGAAGCGCTCGGTGAAGGAGGACCAAATTGCTCGTTGACACAACGAGAGTAGTCTCGGTCCTTCATCACCTTTTCTTGTGCGAGGCACATGTATGTGCACCTCCTGTTAGTTGAAAAGATGCATATCACACCTTTTTGTTGTTGGGGATCCACTGGTCCTGAAGAACTCACAACGATTGAACCAAGGTAGTGGGTACTCCTTTCCATTGAAGGTTGGGATGGACAACTTGCGGTAGTGCGGCTGGAATATGGGATAGGAGATCGGTGCAGATGAATCTTTCGCCGGCAGGGGTGCCTTTGGGGATGGGCTGGTCTTTGGCGGTGTGGCGAACGTGTGTTCTTCATCTACTGGGTGATCTCTGAGACGCCCTAGGACAACGACTTGTTTGCCTTCTCTTGTAGGAAGGTGGGTGGTGTCCTCGATGAGATGCCTACTTTGGGCCTCCAATTCTTTCACGAAAGTGGTGGCTGCGGCGTCATCCTTGGTGCCCTTGTTACCACCTTGCTCTATGGCGATGAGGCGGTTGTTGACGTTGTTGAGTTGTTGCACCTTATCCATGTGGGTGCTGATGTCGACCGTGAGGTGTGAGCATTGCAAACCATGCCTAGATCTTGGCGACAATGGTGGAGGTGTTATTGTTGCTATTAGCAATGGATTCTTGTTCTTTGGATACTAGATGTGATGGGCCTCGATTGGTTGGAGGTGTATTGTGTAGATTGTAGGGAAAGGAAGGAGGAGGATGAGGGATGGAAGGGAGATAGAAGCCCATGGTCGCCTGTACGCTGAGGGTGGCCGGTAGCATAGGGCTAGCACAAGGGATGGTGGCAGCACAGGGGCAGTGGCGGCGATGGGGGAGAAGGGCGGACACAGGAGAGCTAAAAGCTTTGAGGATTGAATCATCAATTTCTTTTTTGAATATTATGAGTACATGACCCTTTTATTTATACTCCCTATGACTTAACCCTAAGCAATCTAGGGCTAGAGTCCTTATAGATTTTGACTCTCCTTTTCCTAAACAATCTCTATTTTGTAAACTGAATTTATTCTTATCCTATGTCTAATTGGAGTTGGATGCGGACTCCTCCTTCGGGGAAGGGAGCTGGCTAGCTAGGAGAAGTTGCCGCCAAACAAGCAGGATGGATCGTCCTATCCAAAAATCCATGCATTTTCATATTGCATCCATGCTTGATGTCAACAAAACACACCCTACAATAACAACAACAACAAAGCCTTTTAGTCCCAAGCAAGTTGGGGTAGGCTAGAGTTTGAAACCCAACATGAGCCCCTAGTCACGGTTGAGGCACGTCAATAGTTGTTTTCCAAGCACTCCTAAAGATCTCTAGGTATATCCCAACCCTTTAAATCTCTTTTTATTGCTTCCCCATGTCCGCTTCGGCCTTCCTTTACCTCTCCTCACAACTTACGACTCCACAATGCACTGGTGCTTCTGAAGGTCTCCTTTGGACATGGCCAAACCACCTCAACCGGTGTTAGATAAGCTTTTCTTCAATTGGTGCTACCCCTAGACAATCACGTATATCATCGTTCTGAACTTGGTCCATCCTTGTGTGGCCACAAATCCAACGTAACATACGCATTTTAGCGACACTCAGTTGTTGGACGTGTCGTTTTTTGTAGGCCAACATTATGCTTCATACAACATAGCGGGTCTAATCGCCGTTCTATAAAACTTGCCTTTAAGCTTTTGTGGTACCATCTTGTCACAGAAAATGCCAGATGCTTGGCGCCACTTCATCCACCCTGCTGTGATCCTATGGCAAACGTCTGCATCGATATCTCCATCCTTCTGTAGCATTGATCCTAAATAACGGAAGGCATCTTTCTTAAGCACCACTTGACCTTCCAAACTCACCTCTCCCTCCTCATGTGTAGCGTTGCCAAAGTCGCATCTCATGTATTCTGTTTTAGTTTGACTTACTCTAAAACCTTTGGATTCAAGGGTGTGCCGCCACAACTCCAGTTTCCTACTTACTCCTGCCCGACTTTTATCAACTAACACTACATTGTCTGCAAAAAGCATACACCAAGGGATATCCCCTTGAGTGTCCCTTGTCACTTCATCCATTACCAAGGCGAAGAGATACGGGCTCAAGGCTAACCCTTGATGACGTCCTATTTTAATCGGGAAGTAATCTGTGTTACTGTCATTTGTTCGGACACTAGTCACGGCATTGTTGTACATGTCCTTGATGAGGGTAACATACTTTGTTGGGACTTTATGTTTATCCAACGCCCACCACATGATATTCCTTGGTATCTTGTCATAAGACTTCTCCAAATCAATGAAAACCATGTGGAACAAAACACACCCTAAGAGATCAAATTGAGTTTGAGTTGTAAGATGGATCCAATCTATAAGGATTGTGTACTTAGTTGTCTTAGGTATCAAGTCATGAGTTAGTATAAAACCTGAGGGTATGTAACTGTTTTTGATCAAGCGAGGAATAGAGGACTTCCTCTCCTTGCCCTTTACCTCCCTGCGTCAACCCACTCCAGCCTCTCTTGCATTAACCCTACCTAAGCATTTACCCCCTCCTATTCTGGCCACCGGCCAGCACAACTTCCTATTCCTTTGAGTCTTTGACAATGGGTCGCAAGTGACTCCTAGTTCCCCGGCACTCCCCCACCTCCTTCGGCTATAACCTCCACTACTTGCTTCCGACGATCTAGGCCCTCTTGGTCAACCTCTATGGTCGCCTATGATGACTTCCCAACACATTAGGAGCACTGGGGCATCTTCAAAAATCCACCGACTACACAACGGAGAGGTTGAACAGACTGCTTCTGGCTATGCTCGAGACCCGCACTAAGGGTTTAGAGAAAGTGAAGGTAGACCACCATGATGACACCGCAGATCGTGTTGTTTGGAGACTAAGGCCAGGCAAACACATCTAGATGAGGTGGCTGCCAATCTATGCCGTTTGCCGACAAATTTATCTTTTAGGTGAATAGCCAAAATACAAGGTAACAATTAATGGCACCAATTTGGCAAAGGACCTGTGGGGTGCGGAGGTGCGAAATTCTTATTTTGATGGTACCATCTACTTTTCTTCCATGTTGACACAATGTGATCCTTATGCTTGGTAGAGGGATTGTCAGCAAACACATGCTAGACCTTTGCTTCGAGTGGCCCTGTCCACATGAACCTTATTATATTCTCTGTTGCATCTTTTGTTTTTATCTACCATCTCGCATTTCCCAAATACATTAAAGGTTGCAGCAAAAGAATGTATTGCTTTGACTTCGCATTCTTACACTTTCACTTTTCCCTTCTAACCCTGTCAATCCTGTGCTGTCCATCGTGTTGTGAGTCCTTGGTCAATGCCCACCCTGTGAGCTGGTGCTTGCGATTATCTTACCCAAGAACCTGGGTTATGTGCATCGTGTTCTGTGGATGCCAGTTCAAAGGTAAACGTGAGTCTATCAAGATTAAGGGGGGCGGATGGTGCGCTTGGGATCCATGGATGCCTTTTTCATTGACTTCAAGATTCAAAACAAATAACTGAGTTTTTGGTATTGAATATAGCCTTGTTCTGAAAACAACAACTGGCAAGTGAAAAAGATGAAGCGCAGCTATTTTTGAGGAAACTGGAACATTTTATCACACCTCCATGTCATACTGTGGCTTTATCTGACATTACATGAGATATAGCTTATGTATCACTAAACCTATGCTAAATAATTGGGTTTGGATCTTCTGTCACTCTTGGAACCTGGCCACGGAAAGTATTTGCTTGTTAAATCCTAACAAAGGTGGCACGCATAGCAGGCCAAGCAGCAACGCAAGAAGTCACATATATAGCTTTCTTATGCTCTTGGAAATTTAGATTTTGTTTGTTTCATAAGCTTTTCTGAAATCCTTATGTAAATCCTACATCGTGTTACTATCCAAGAAGCCTAGGTTGTCATCCGGAGTTGAATTTGTGGTGCTTGCTTGAAAATGTTTGTGCTGAAGGTGGTTCATTATTCTCTAATTTGTAGGTTTCACATGCTGTCCGAGTTTGATGAGGGAAAAAGAAGTTGCCGGAAGCGTTTGGATGGCCATAATAGACGTCGAAGAAAGCCACAGCATGATCTGACGAATCTAGGGGGTTTCTTTCCATACCACCAAGGTGCATTTGAGCTTACATATGTGGATGCCTTGCTATTCTGATAGCCTTATTCCTAGGAGTCTGTTAATCTAGTTTAGATAGAGCATTAAAATTACTATACATTTAGCTTTTACTAAATGATGAATCAATTCGTCAATGATAGCAGAAAGCAAAATCTATTAGATTGTCTAATCTCCTTTAGGTGTGCAGAGTTCGTCTTTGATATTTTCTATAGACTGTTCCTTCTATGATTGGTTGATTGACAACTCCAGTAGTTTTCATTTCTAATGTGATAACATTTATCTTTTGAGCAAACTTTACCCAATTTGCATGGGAAACAACAAAGTAGATGACAAATGTTATCTTCCTGCAGTGAATCAATTTGAGGTCTATCCACGAACTATTCCAACAGTCAGCCAGAATTCTGATGCCATGCAGTTGGTGGGTCGTCAGCAGCCCTTCTCCATATCGTTCTCAAGAACACCAAATCAGTTCCCTTTCCCACAGGGTGGCGGTAGTGCCCTCCATGCAGCCTGCCCTAGTCTTCTGGCTGAAGGTAGCAGCCACACTGGAAGCAGCACATGCAACAACGCTCTCTCTGGCACGCTGGGCCCCGAGTGTGCTCTCTCTCTTCTGTCACCGTTGCTGCATCGCCCCTCTGCTGCTGGCATCCCCACCAATGGCCAACCCCAGGTTGCCTCTTCACTCTCTCGGATCGCTGCCGTGTCGCAGGCTGCAACAACAGCTATGACCATTGCATTTGCGGCCGGTGTTGGCCACCATGTGTTTGTTCCTGATGCTATGCTTGAGGATCCTTCACAGCCACTGCCATCCTCTTGGCAGTAGAATTAAATTGTCCTGTTTTTATGTGCTGCTGGGTTTATGTGCTGCTGCTGGGTTCTCAATTGATGGTAGTGCTGAGGACTGGGACTTAGGGAGCACCTGTGCACTTGCAGTCGCAGGCGCAGGATGTGATCGGAGGTTTATACAAGTGACAGAACAAGTGCTGTCCTCTGGAAGGAAGGAGGTGGTGGCTGTTGTGCAGATTGTTTAGTCGATAAATTCAAATGGGTCTTTTTCAAAATTTTGTATATTTTGTTTATATATACTCCCCCTTTTTCAAATTATAAGTTGCTCTGTCTTTTCTAAATACAGTAAAAATTATAAATTTTGATGTAATGTATATGTAGATGTATAATAGAATATGTATCTAGAAAAAGCTAAAATGACTTATAATTTGGAATGGTGGGAGTATTTATATTTTTGCCAAAATATGTGCAAGTATCCACTACCGGAATGAATCAAGCTGCAATCTTAAAATTCATCAGGGATCCAAAAGGCCTGATGGCACCACTGATTTAGGTAAACGTAAAGGACCAATTTGGGCTGGGCCTATTTTACTTAGGTCCGTAAGGTCTGCTTATTGGTAATTTAGTAGGCCTGTGACCCTTGAGTGGAAGTTCGAATAATGGACATGGACCCACCGGTGCAGTTGTGGACTCATGATGGACCGTGACAATCCCCGGTGGGACATCTGGTTTTGTTTGGAAAACATTCTACGTCTGTCTTGCAAGTTGCATTATATGTTTTCATTTTTTGTAAGTTTTGGCGAATAACATAACTTTTAAAATCATCTTGTTACGTAACTTGGAACATATTTCTTTTTTCAAATTATATCTCGCTCTAATTTTCGTATTAAGTTTTTTAGTTTACTCAGTTTTGTTCTAAGTCAAAATTTTCTAATTTAGATTAGATTTGTAGAAGAATACATACATATCTATAATACCAAATTAGCTTTATTAAATTCACCATTGATTATGTTTTGACAGTGCATTAACTTAAACTGATAGATGTCAACATATTTTTTCTAAAAAAATATGGCAAAATTTGAGGAATTTTACTTATGGTAAAGCTAAAGTGAACTATGATTTAGAGAGGATAGTAGATTTTTTTAGCCAAAACAACTTTACTCCCTCCATTTCACAATGTTTTCTAGCTTTGTTAAGCCAAAAATTTTACCTTTGTCCACCAATGCTTATAAATTTGTATAGTTTAACAACATACCGTGAAATTATTTATCATGGTAATCTGAAAACATAAATTTATGATTTAATTGGGCATGATAAACAACCTATCTGAGATGGAGGCAGTACTAGAACGCTATATACTCAGAATTCGATAATGTGTGGCTAAAAATCGTTGGCCGAATTTTGAACTGCAAAGTGAAAACTACAATAGAGTGGGGGAAGAACCACCGTATCTACTTGAGACCAACACTCAAGACCCAGTTGCATTGGCACACTCCTCGTCAGAATACGTTTCTACGATCCCAATGGCCCTCAAACATGCATTGTGTGCAAACGTCCAAGGATTAGTAGAGGGGGCAAAAAATACAAGGAAAAGGCCAAGGAGGACAGTGTGGCTCCATATGACCGTTGGGTGGAGTGCAGTGGAGAGGGTCCTCTGCGACTGCGAGCCAGAGCACAAAGCACGCCAACTACGCAACTAGGTCCCTTGGAACGTAGAAATTCAGAGAAACCAATTCATATTTATTATCAATCTTCTTGTTCTCACTGAGTAGCAACTCCATTAGTTTGTTTAATTTCAGCATGAATTAAAGTTTTACCAGATTCCTGAGTGGATGTGGGTGGTGGTGGTGAAAATGGTGTTGCAGTGGCGGAAACGGCCACTCGCCTGCTTATCGCGGTCTCGACCTTCGCAAATGATTGTTTCACCCTTGCTAATACCTGATTTGTGAGGTTGTCGCCAATGTTGCTCTGGTTCTTTTGTTGATATCATTGCAATTCTTTTTTCTGCAAGCATAGCAAGCCGGAACAGACAGTTGACAGTATAAAATTCTTTATGATAAATGATATTTTGTATTTCATGCCCCAAACCACCATAAAAAGCGAACAATTTTATCTTCTGTGTCCTCAACTATCCCACAACATATTCTAGACATATAACCCTGCTCTAAGCGCCGTAATTTTTTACGCCAACCACATTTATAAGGAGGAATAAAACGATCACACATTGCCTCTTTTAGTCTATTCCATAAATGAGGTTGTAGATGCAAATTGCCTAGTTTTTGTCACCAAATTTTAGCAAAATCCTTGAATTCACTAGTAGCATGTTTAACTCTATGTATCTCAGAAACTAGGTGGAAATTAAATTATTGTTCTACAGCCATCTCTCAATCTAAATATTCTTCTCCATCATAAGATCCAACAAAGGATGGTATGGTAAGCTTACCTCTCATACCTTATATGTGATAGCGGATTGTTCTCCATTCGGTCCATCCTTGCAAACCTGTAGTCCATGATTTCCTATAATTCAATCTTAAACAGAAACTTATTGTTCGATATTGTTAGAAATCAAAATAAATGTCCTATCAACTATTTTATGGGTCGTGGAATCACACTCACATGTCTTACCAAGCTCTTACAAGTTACTAGTATTCTTATCAAAGCAAAGCAGTGGATGGTACAACTGATGGCTGGTTCGTGATACCTGTGAGGGCGTGGCACAGAGATTGCAAGGATCTTTTTCTGTACTGATCTAAAGTATATATGTGGAGCTTGGGAGGCTTAAAATATGGTAGCAAGAAATAACAACAATTTAATTTAGAAATTGCAAGATTAAAAAGTAGTCCGAAGCTAGTCTACGTCGCCAGTCTAAACTCGTTCTGGACCTAGTTCAAGCAAGCAACAAATACAACTCAGCACGAGAACTCAGAGGATGCAAGCACTTCTCTTCTTTCTTTCTTTCTTTTTTTGGTGCGGCTCTTTTGTTTTTCTTTTCTTTTCTTTTCCTTTTTTCACCTCTTTGCCTTTTTTGTGCAGCTTTTTTCCTTGCACGTCTTGCCTTTTACTCTTTCTTTCTTTTTTTGAATCTCATATAATGTGCGGCAAGGAAAAAGAAATAGAACTCAATGATACACGATTGGAATAGTTATCACAAGATAACAAATCTTCTAGCTTCAACGCACTAAGATATCTTTCACAAAAATTAACGTGTAGCGCAAGACAAATATATGCACATAATCTGTACGTGGTGTGCTACTAGCAACGTAAAAGGGAGTCCTTCGAGGCAAAGAAAGGATCACGTGAAAATCAAAAGGGAAATAATTCTTTCCTGTGTTGATTGGCCAGAAATAAATAAACAAAGGATATTTGGCCACAGATCACGTCCAATCTGCTATGCTCTTTACTTTTTGATTGGGGTGCGATATATTCTTTGGAAAGAAAAATAACGGCACCTCATGCAACAAAAATCAATCGGCAATCTCTCTGTGCTCTAAATTGCTGTACGTATAGCTCGGTAGAACTAAGTAGCACGTAGGATTTGCACCTTCCTTCAATGCAACTAACAAAAATTGCAGTACACAACGAGGAGGTTTATGACTCTAACCAGGACACAACAAGATCTAGACACGATAACAACCGTTTAATAAAGCAAACTAAAATTAAAAATATTGCAATGGCACAACAGATGATGGGATAGGGGAATAACGACGATGAACACAAATATTTTTGTAGGGCAATTTTTTGGATTTATGGAACAATGACAAACACAACTAAACTAGGGTAAAGATAAACCTGACGGTAATACCTGAAGCTCTGATTACCACTTGATGAGGACGGGGTTTCCGATCTTCCATCAGGTTTAAGATAACTAACGATTTGGGCGAAAAGCGACACATCGATCTGGCTTCAGATCGCAAAGACCCAAACCCTACAACCTTAGCACCATGTCTCCTCTGATTATCAACCGTCTCACAATTCGATTAACCTCGCCAAGAAGGCTAATCCCTGCTGCGAATCAAATAACACAAGCAAGAACAAGATAAAATGCAACTCAAGTAAAGTGATAATTTGCAGATGTATGATTAAGATATCAATGTGGGGTTTCACAAACTAATAACAACGGCTGTTCAAAGACAAATTAATCTAAAGCAAAACCCAAAACCTAACTATGATGGTGGCGACTGATTATAAGGTTTAAGGGTCATCGCTCCCCCTGGACGTGCCCCCCTAATGAGCTCAAACACGATACACGGCCCAACGGACCAAAGACGGTGACACAGCACCCTGATAGATTCTAGAAGTTGACTTGTTTCGATGATTCCTGTTGACTCCGGTGGAATTTGGACCTAAAACCAAAATCATTGGTTAGCTTATGAAATTATCTTTCCATCCATACGTGGATCATCGAGAACGGAATCCGAATGCGTGATGTGCATCCATTTTACCACAGGCTAGTCCTGAAGGCCTAGAGAGACTCGAACTCGAGTTGAACTATCCCCTGGCTTAGCTTGGACGCCCTTGCTGACCTTCAAAGGAGGTGGCCAAGGAGGAGAATGTCCAAGGGCTTTCTTGGTGTGTTTTCCGTCTTTTTGGGACATGCTCCAACTTGGGTCAGGGTCCCAAGGTTGCATGACAAGCTCAAGAAGGACGTTGTATGTAGCAGCCGATAGAAACAACAGCAGATTGCTGTAATCATTTAAAGACCTTGCAAATGTAATATTGAGGTGGGACATGGTCTATTTGAAAGCCATCAAATGCTCATTAACCTCAATCACACTCTGGATGGATGAGTTAAGGCCTTCCCAGTGAAACGCTATCTGGTTGTTGACGAACTGAATATTGGACTTTGATGAGCTTGCACTACAAGATCGGTCTTGTTCATGGCATATCCATATTATATCATCTCCGTTGTTCCTAAGCACATTTGAAATACCGATATTAGGTAGTAGCAAATTCTTAGTTTTATTATTATTGGCAAACATGCTCGTGCGTTGCAACGGAAAATAATACGTATTAGAAAGGTTGAAATGGAGTGTACAATTTGCGTAATCTATTCTAATGCGTTTGGGAACCGGATCCTGCAGTCTATTCCAATACACTTGGGAACCAGATTCTGTACTATGGTTGGACGCCACTTGCTATTTCCTAACTCATATATAAGTATATTTAGTGAATTTGAATAATGGATGGAATAGTAAACCAATTCGGACTTTTATCTCTAGTTCAGCATGTACTATTTCATTTAGTAAAATCGGTTAGGACTCTTGTACCATTAGTCTTAGTAAAATTGACCAAAACTCTTATATGCTAAAAGAGTTGAGGAACTAATTAATTAGAACCTATAATGATTGGCATAGTCACTGCTAACAAGCATCTTCATTTTAACGACTAAGCTAGATATCTATAGGAAGTTCTTGATGGACTCCTCGAGCTCACTCACGACGGCCTTCCAACCGGCAAGGCATGGGTTGGGTTGGTCGTCCCAGTAGAAGTACTTGACCGGCGTGGGGCATAAGACGTACGTCGCGTCGCCGTCCTCCATCTGGCCGTAGTACCCACTCTGCTCAAAGATCTCGCAGCATGGATCCAGCTTGTGTTTGAATTTCTTCGATTGGGAAGAACCTGCGATTTGGATCGGAGTTTTTAGCTAGTGTTCACTTGACAGAGTTGAATATATTTTTTATATAGCTAAACGCTGTAGTATGTAGTATGTACCAGAACTGGAGGTGAGGCGCTTGAACATCGTTGTCAGGTTGAGGTTAAAGACAATTTCATCTTTAAACACCTTCTCTTTTAAGGTACACGTTGTGTATGCTTGCAGCCTTCTAGCTGTCGCAAGAGCCGTAATCGCTGGACCTCGACAGCCACAGTGTGCAGCCGATAGGGGGCAGCATGCTCACCACCAGCACCTTCTCCACACCCAGGTATCAGCTCCTCCACAATGCCTACGATCTTGTCTGTCACGTCTTGGCCCATGGCATTAATCCCGGAGCTGGTTATTTCGTTGACGTGTGCATAATCTTGTTTGCCGGAGGCTAACTACTGCTTATGGGCACGGCCGGGGAGCACGTACCGATGAACCATACAGGACCAATCCGTTGGAGATAATATTTTGCCTATTTGAGTTAGGATTTCTATTCAGCTCACTCAGAATCGAAGAGATCTATTTAGATTAGAATTTCTATGACTATCTAGGTTACTTTAAGAACTCTGTCCAATATGTGCCATATAAAACATGGGAGTTGATACGAACAATTTTCTTATTCACGGAGTTAGTTAGAGAAGATGGACCGAAAAAATAAATGGATAAAAAAAATAATCAGAAATGTTACCTCTTTATTATTATATTTAGTATAAGTATAGATATAAATATAGAAACGAGCTCACTTATAATCAAAAGTCGTATCCGAAGCGGTCATGTCCTAATCAACTCCTAGCTGCTGCTTGTGCGTGCTGCAACCTCTCTAGACACCATGTCCGGTGAGGCAACCGGTGTGCCACCGGTGACAACCGGTGCACACTACAGCCGCGGCCTGCCTGACACCTTGGTAACCGGTGCTCCTCCCTGAGCACACCGGTCATGAGCCGTGCTGCCTGTGCAGCACCGACTTGTTTGGCTTCTTGGCTTGTCATCGTTCGGGCTTTGTTGTCTTTGCGTCTTGGACTTCTATCTTCATTTTTATGTTGCTCAAGCCTGTCTTCTTTTCGACGTTCATCAACTTCTTCTAGTTCCAAATCGATCCAAGTCCGCTTGTGCACGCTATTGAACTATTGGTATTTCTTAGCATAAGCAGAAGGAATACGCAAGCGCGTGGATATACCGTCGTAGCCCTTCACCTAGAAGTATTCAGGTTATCATATTTTTTCAAAAGAACTGATGTGTAGAAGTCTCTTTAGCTAGTTCACCCAAAAAAACAAGAAGAAGGGTAGCTTGGGTAGCATGTTTTTGCGTACTTCCAGTGTAGAAGCAGCTGTAATTTGTGGTCGTGTACGTGATTTTTGATCTTAGGAGCATGAAAATTCTCTTAACAAGGGTCACAGTACTCGACAAAACTCAACACAAAGTAAATGGCATATGTAGGAAGCTCATGTCATGTATAATCATATATGGCTTTGGTAGAAATTTTGCATATCATTCAAGGAACATGCTATTTGAATTTTTGTTTTTCAAAGATAAATCCTAAGGGAGCAAGTTTCATATCATCCTACTATATCTCATTTCCCAATTAGTTAGATAAAGTAGGGTCCCTATGATGAGTGTTCACAAGTTATAGGAAGTTTAGCAAGGAATAAAGAGTATGCAAACTTTAACCATGGGATGACACCGAGATGGAGCATCAGTTATTAACCTGTATTTTAAAAATTTTGTTCAGTTTTTATTTTATTTTAAGTATAGAGAGTGAGGATGCATAAACCAAGTTTTGAAACATGTAGACTCTTTGTGCATCTTTCGGAGATGACTGTGGTGTCTCCCCCAAACTTGTTTTGTACCTGTCTTTTATTTTGATAGCTAAAGAAAATACAAAGACAAGTGCAGACAATATTTCAAATAATAATACTTTATTGAATCATAGAAAACTTGATAAAGGCGCATTACATGATTGGAATATCAAAATAATTGGAATGAAAAACAGAAATAATAAATGCGCCTAATTATTTGCAAGGAGTGGCCTAAAAGGGTTGATCGAGAACATCTGCCACTCCTGCCGCCCTTGCTAGCTTAGCGATTTTCTGATCTAGCTTGAAATGAAGGTTATTGATATCATCCTCAAGATCTTTGATCTTGATGAGATTATCAGCTAAGCGATTGTTCAAGCCTCTAATATGCTTGCGCAAGGTTACGTTTTCAGAACTAATAGAGGTGATGGAAGGCACCCTAGGTGGAGCATCCTCCTCGTCGCTACTCTCAAACTGTCCAGCAGGGTGCCTGATAGGACGAACCTTCTAGAACCGCTTGATCTTAAGCGACTGAGAGGATGATTCGGCTTGCTCCTTGGGTGGCAGCTTAGGCTTGGACATGAGGGCCTTTCTGTACCCCCGTCAGGTTTACGCACGCCCACTACCATGTAGGAAGGGCTATGACGAGCGAAGGGTACAAATGAGCTGGGGCGAGAAGCTAAATTGCCCAAAGGCGTTACACAAGTGCGCTTCTTTGGCCCGCTGTCCTCGGGTGCCTTCCTATTGAGGCTGATGGTGCCGGTGGATGTTCCCTTCGGGGGCGCCTTCTTCACCTTGGTGCCACCAAGGGGCACCCTTGTCCTTGCTGTAGACCTCAAGCTCGTGCTGCCACTTGTACCACTGCTAGGCGGTGGCATAAGTGCAAGGGGCATCATTATTGTGATCACCCTTTCTTCCTCTCTCACAAACTCACTTTCGGGCAAAGTGTTGGCTAGAGATAGCGCCCTGTCTAAGTTGTAGGTTGAGCAAGATGCTGTGTAGAGGACGAGAGCGTGGCTGGCCATGACTTAAGAGTGCTCAAGAGAGGAGAAGATGTTTGTTTGTGAATGGAGTGAGGAGAGGGAGAGGTTTGGGGTGGCTTTTATAGGTGTTTGGGCTTCTACCGTGATGGAAATGTGATCAACATACGGCCATACCCCGAGATTCAGATATTGTATGATTCAAAGAACAAATGCCGGGAAGAGGGGGATCAGCGGGGCCAGGTGTGGGGCGGCCGCACCCCCAGTGCCTCCCCCTAGGACGAGATTTCATCCACGTTCTCATGCATGCTCTTGATCGTCAGGATCATCGAGTGATAGAGCAAGATACACATTATCAAGGTGAATCAAAGGATATTCAAGTTGATGTTTTTCACATGATTCATAATTATGAGTGAAAGTTGGAAGTGATCAAGCATGAATCAAGTATTATTCAGTGAGGGCATAAAAGTAATTATCCAAGATTCATGCTTGAAGAGAAAGAATATTTGAATTTTTAATTAAATGAAAAGAATATGTGAGAAGCATTTTTAATTTGGATTAATTTAAAATAAATTTATCAAAAGCAATTAGCTCTATTTTATCTATTTCTTGGATAGTGTCATGAGAAGGCTCTAGGAAAAATTTTAAGCATTGGCCATTGACTTTAAAAATGTTACCGTCATCATCTTGAATGGTGATCACGCCGTGTGGCGATGTGTTGATGATGGTGTGTGGTCCCTTCCACTTGCTATGTAGTTTTCCTTCACAGAAGAGCTTGACTCGAGAGTTGAAAAGTAGCACCTTGTCTCCCTCCTTGAACTCTTTTTGTTGGATTCGGTGATCGTGCCATCTTTTAGTTCTTTCCTTGTAAAGCTTGGCACTATGGCCTTCTCTCACCATTCTTCTAGCTCAACAATTTGTTTCTGTCTATTCTTGCCAGCTAGCTTAACATCCATGTTCCAGCTTTTTATGGCCCAATGAGCTCTGTGCTCAAGCACAACTGGCAAGTGGCAGCTTTTTCCATAGACGAGCAGGAACGGTGACATGCCGATGGGGGTTTTGTAAGCTGTCCTGTATGTCCAGAGTGCATCAGAAAGCTTGTTCTTCCAACCCTTCCCCATCTCATTGAACATCTTCTGCAGGATATTTTTTTGATTTGTTTGTTCGAGGTCTCTGCCTGACCGCTTGTTTGAGGATGGTAAGGGGTGGCGATGTTGTGCTTGGCTCAAGCTCCTTTAGGAAGGTTCTAAATGTCTTGTCGATGAGGTGAGATCCCCCATCACCTATCACCATCCTTGGTGTTCCAAAGCATGGGAAAATCACTTCATGAAACATCTTCCTTGCATACTTGGCGTTAGCAGCTCTACATGGTAAGGCTTCCACCCACTTAGACACATAGTCAACAGCGACGAGGATGTACTCGCAATCTTGGGACTTTTGAAATGGCCCCATGAAGTCAATGCCCCAGGCGTCAAATATTTCCATTTGCAAGTGGTAGAGGAGGGGCATTGCGTTGTGAGTAGTGACGCCTCCTTGCAGCTGGCATTTCTTGGCAAAAATATCACATAGCAAAAACATATTGACTAAGTTGTTGTGAAGTGAGATATTGCATTGACATGGAAATCCAACCTTTTCTATTCAAAGTACTTGGAGGATTTTCTTTTTAATAAAATATCAAGATCCATAGCTTCACATACTCCTCAATGGTGAGAAAAATTCCTACCAGAGCCATATCTAGTGATGCATGTTGAAAACTTTCTACACATGCTACTTGCCTTTGCATTGAGTTTTGTCAAGTCTTGTTGATCCTTGTTGAGAAATTTATCATGCTCCCAAGATCAAGATCAAATAAATACTCCACATGTGATCCCTCTCTAATGTTTTTGTAAAAGAGACATGGGCTATGCAAAAATATTGAAAAAAAGAAAAGAAAAAAAAGAAGAGCACATGAAGGCTCAAGCATTGAAAAAAGAGAAGAAAAAAAGAAGAGAGAAAAGATAGCCATGTTCTCAAAATAAAAGTTAGAGAGAGATCATTCATGTTAATGAGTATAGAGAAGTTTATCATCTTTTTTCCACACACACATCTTGATCTAAGAGTATGACATTTTTCTCCTTGGATCCAAGCTTTGACTTTAGAATATATGCAATGCAAGTATGCCTTCATATGTTTTTCCCTACCTAAGATCCACATAAGCCCTTTAGAAGTAGGAAGAAAAAGAAGGCAATGCTATAATATGCTCTGGTGAGGAATCATACACCATTGAGAGATTCGAGAGTACCATTTGAGGAGTACATGTGAACTATGCTTTTGTTTAAAAGTATTTCAAAAACTCCAAGTACTAAGATATGAAATTGGGAAGAGATGACTTTGTTTTAGAGTCGTTCCACTTCTCAACTGCTCAAGGAGATATGCTAGCCGCTCCACATATCCTGTAGGTATGAAGTATATTTTGGAATAATTCTTATGCTAGTTCAATATCTTGAATAGCTATGTTTATGTCTACCTTATCTTAACCTTTGCTCGGGACGAGCAAAGACCAAGTGTGGGGGATTTTGT